TTACCTTTCCACAACGAAAAGATGATGGATTACAAAGGTCTGTATCTAAATGAATCACTTCCCCCCATAGTTGGCCTATCTTTCTGTACGTAACCGAATTCCACAAATTCAACGGAACACCAAAACAGCTAATCGAAGCATATCTTTCCGGCTGAAATTGCATACCAGGTTCCCATTCTGTGATGTATACACACCAGGCATGGAACCATTCCGTAATCAAGCCTATCGTACTTCTCAAGGCCTCTCTAGATCTGAAAGAAATTACTATATCGCGACCACCTCCTTCTCTCACCAGGACATCCTTCACTCCTTTCACTTTTAATTCTACTTTAACTTCTACAACAGAGTACCCAGGTTTGAGCCTCATAATCAAGCTCTCATACAACCAGCCATTTCCTATTTCTTCGACTCTGATTGTGGGAGTTGAATGACCTTTTGGTTGAGCTCCTTTGGTGACCTCTACATATGATCTGCCATCTAAGACTTGATTCCACATTCTAGATGCATTTGTGCCTGGTGGCCTTCTTGGCTCCGTTTGTCTCCATTGCACTTGTTTGAACCTCCTCCTGTCATCGTTACCTTTCCCATAGGCTGCACTCTGAACTACCAAGGCTTTATCATCAACCCATAATCCGTTTGTCTTTTGTTCTGCTATACTAGCTGCAACAGGGCAATCAAAACGGACAAATCCAAACCTTGTGTTTGTTGTTTTCCTCCTCTTATGTGGAATGAAAACATCCTTAACCAATCCAAATTTTCTGAACAATTCAAACATTCTTCTTGGTTCCATGGTTTCTGGTAAGTTGTCTACAAACAGAGTATACATCTGTTCACGTCTTCTTTCCTTAGACCCAACTTGAGTTGCTTGTCGACCTCTCCTGTTTAGTACTGGAATCCAACCTCCTCCTGTCATCAATAAAAGGGTATAGTTGTTCACCATAACACTACCAAAATAAAAAAATAGGACTACACGGAAAGAAACTCTCCACTAATAGGACTTAATAGATTAATAGAAAAAAACTTAGAATTAATTAGAATACTTGCTTATGAAATGAGATTTATTAATAAATATGCCTAAAAAGAAATATATTTAACGGCCTCATAAGCCTGTGTTGGTAATAGAAATGGTATTGATTTGATTTTATGATTTTTTTTATTTTTTGTTTGATATTTGGGGAAAAAAAAGGGGGGGAATTTATTAGAAAATTATCTTTTAAGTAATTATATTTCAATTGGTTCATAAGATATTCTTATATTTCAATAAACCCTATTATTTTTGACATTTGATCTATTAAATCCTAATTCAAGAGTTTCTATTTGCACCCCAAAAAATAGGTAAGGCATTCTAATTTAATGATATTTTTTTATTACTATTCAGTCCCTATTTAAATGACCAAAAAGTACATGATTTTGGGGGGGGGGATGTACATAAAAATGTTTTAGACACCTCACTCATCATCATCACTAATATTCATTCTCTCTCTTCTCTTTCTACTTTTATCATTTGGCATCTTTATATCCAACCCTATTTGCTTTAATTCGTCATTATTGTATTATATTTTATATTGAAATCAACAATGGATAATAAAAAAACACATTTCCAAACAATTTTCTATAGAAAAAGTAAGTTTTTAATTGTTCTTCATTGTTTTTCGTAGGTTGGTTTACCGAATTGATTCGGAACTGAATATCCAAACAAATTTCATAGGTTTGGAATTAAGTATTTATACAAATATATTTTTATGTACATTTTATCCAAAAAGTCAAAAAGTCAACTATATATTTTAGCCAAAAAGTTTAAAAGTTACAATAAGTTATCATATCACTCTCTTTATTTTTTACACATTTTTTCGTAAAAAATTAAAAAGTTACTAAAATAGTTTGTTCTCAAATGAGACCAAGTATCCATATGAACACAGCTGAAATTAATTTTCTTGGGTTCCACACTGAGTGTTCGAACAAACTTCATAGGTTCAAAATTAAATATTTAGACAAATATATTTTGTTCAACACTAAATATCTATATGAAACAACTGGAACCAATTTTTTATTGTGTTCAGCACTGAGTATCCGAACAAACTTCATAAATTCAAAATTAAGTAGCCAGACAAATATATTTTGATTCACTGAGTGGGAGACCTTCGTCTTGAAATCTCTCTTTGTTTCGGATGAACTTAGAATCATTCTTCGTTGTTTAGAATTCCAGAGACCCCAAATGTGGTTTGATTTTGTTCCTATGTTTATGGGCAATGGGGTATACAAAGTAAATTTGTATAAGGTTTTAAGGGTTACGATAGGTATTATTTGTGGTGTCCAAACAAATAAATAAAATTTCAAATTTATTATTGGGGTGCTCAAAGTAATGGGATGCAAATAGAAACTCCCTCATAATTCTTATATTTAACATATTTTATGGGCAATTTTATTCTTATAAATATTTTTTGAACCCTTAACAACTTGGCGATGTTCACATTTTCATTAGATAAATTTGACAGTGTGAATGTTCATATCATGGAGCATTCAGATTGTCAATGTGAACATTAATGTGTGCTTTACCGTTATTAAGAGTATTTTAGTAACTATATCATCTATAAAAATTTATTGGAATATAAGAAAATAATTTAAATTAGGTAGAATATGAGTATGTGAATATGAATTTATGAATAAATACCACTGGAGAAGATAAATTTCAATTGACAATATATTATAGTCCTAGATGAAATATAAAAATTTTGTGGACAAAACATTACAAAGAGTAAAAAAAGTAACTTCAGTGAGAAAAAGTTTAAAATATTACTAATAAATGCACTTGTATAAATAAAATAATTTCGTAAAAAGAAAAATTATTTCTTGAGATAAAAAATTTTCATCCTAAAAGCCTAATAATTTATGGGGGAAATAATTGGATAATGGTGTAGTAAATTTTTTTTTTATATACATTTTAATAATTGAAATGCTATAGTTTTTTCATATTTTTGTATTTTTTTTTACTGCACCACTGTGTAGTTATTTCGTCATAATTGATCACAAAATGTCCAATTTTATCTCTATAAAGTGATTTCATTTTTAAATTTTTATTTCTAAAATCTTAATTTGTTGTATTGTGTAGTGAAACAAAAAAAATAATAATAATAAAAAATAAAAATAAAAAATTGGAGAGAGAAAATCACCACACTATTTGGTATTAATTTTTCAAAGACAATTTTGGAGTTTTTAATCTGTATTATTTTATTTTTAATGAATTTTTTTAATATTTTAGTCAATTTTTATTTTTTATTTTTTATTTTTTAGATCCTTAGGGGTGGTTTGAGATGATCTAAATAAGTGTATTTTTTGAATTTTTATGAAATATGGGTTGTGTTGAAATGATGTGGTAGAGAGATGATATGACTTAAATAGGATAATGACTTTTTAACTTTTTTAGGATACCCCAAACAAGCCTTAAATCTAGATGTACTTTTAAAAGTAAAATATTTATGAATTTTTTTTTTTAAATTAATAAGTAATTATATAAATATTCAAAAATCATTTTTGAAAACAAAATTTTTTTTTTTCTTTCTTTTGTGAAATAACCAGTCAGTGTATTGGTTGAAAAAAAATTCAGATTCATGATAAAATCTACAAAAATTTTTTGATCGGCAAAATAAACAGAACTTTATTAATGGCGATGAAAGGTACAAGATGTACATACAAAAATATTTAAACATCAATAAAGAAAGGAGGGTGCACAAAGCATCACAATGGGTTAAATCATTTCAACTAGGTTGACACCCAAAAAAAAAAAAAAAGCAAACAACCAAAACAGAAAGCAAATAAACACCTCAACCACCATAATTTTTTTAAAAATTAATAAGTAATTATATAAATATTCAAAAATCATTTTTGAAAACAAAATTTTTTTTCTTTCTTTCTTTTGTGAAATAACCAGTCAGTGTATTGGTTGAAAAAAATTTCAGATTCATGATAAAATCTACAAAAATTTTTTGATCGGCAAAATAAACAGAACTTTATTAATGACGATGAAAGGTACAAGATGTACATACAAAAATATCTAAACATCAATAAAGAAAGAAGGTGTACAAAGCATCACAATGGGTTAAATCATTTCAACTAGGTTGACACCCCAAAAAAAAAAAAGAAGCAAACAACCAAAACAGAAAGCAAATAAACACCTCAACCACCATTCCAAAAGCTCAAGAATCCTGATATATGCAGACACAGCTAACAGGACAATCAACAAAGAGACAAGCACAGAACAGATCAGCAATGCAGCACACAGCAGCAGTAGGCAAGATTATTAAAATCTACAAATTTTAATTATTAAAATTATAAACTTCTTTATAAATATATAATTGTTTTTGAAAATTAAATCTGACTTATAACTTTTTTTCTTCCATCTATGTGTCATGATCCAATAGTATGATTCTTTTTTCTATCGATGTGTCATCCAATAGGATATTCCATACCCGTTGACCAAATGAAATGTAATCTTCGGGGAAAGAAGGTTTTAGTTTCTTTAAAATTCGGTGGACTGGTGGAGGCTCTCCGAACGTTTTAGTTTCTTTAAAATTCGGTGGACTGGTGGAGGTTCTCCATCTCTAATGGTGTCGGTGGTGTCTGAGGTTTCTTCTTCTGATGTAATCGTGTTCCTATTTTTTTTTAAAAAATTTATTTGGTGAACTGGTAGGCTATCAAACATATATGTATTTTATATATATATATATATATAGTATTAGGAGAGTTTAATATCTATCAGTACATTTTATTTTTAATGAAAATTTTATTTTGTTGATAAAAAAAAATTATACTAACCTCCTCAATATTTAGAAAAAATACAACAAATTCTACAATTTTAATATATGAATAAAAAAATTATATTTTCATCTCTTTTACATAAAAATGTATATTTCACGTTTTTTATTTTGTATTTTTACACCATCTGAATTAGTTTTAGTCCATTTAGTCTTTTTCAAATAGAAATCAGTATAATTATGTCAAAATTATGAGGTTTACAGTATTTTTGCTAAACTACTGGAGAGGAGGGTCAATGTAATTTACTTCTATCTATATATTGTGTCAAAGAGTAGCATTTGGTTGTTTTCAAAAATCAAAAGCAAACCAAAGATGGCTACAATGCTGACTGGAGTAGAGATGTATAGGAGGAGGAGGACTCATTCTCAACAACACCTTCATGATCATGATGATCACACTCCTTCATATACATCCATTCTCGATCCACCGATGATGACAACCACCTCCACCATAGATGAAGCTGCGGTAAAAGCTCGCCAACGGCTCGAAGAGAGGCTTGGCTATTTCCGTCATTCAAGGTTTTGCTCTTCTTCATCACGCTTTCTCTGTTTCCCTTTTGCCTTGCTTTTTGGGTTCCTCCATGGACAACCATAATTAATCAGGTTCAAAGAAAAATTGATAGAACTGAATCCACCATTTAAGATGGGTTTCGAAATTCAAATTTTTTTATTTTTTTGCAAGGTTTGGTATGTTTTTGTTCTGAAAAATTTTGCACCACTACCAGCCAAATCACAAAAAATGTTATATTTAATTACTTTTTATATTGTAATTCTTTTGAGCATTATTAGTTGGAAGATAAGTTAAATCCCTTTTTAGGTTAAATTGAAAAATTAACAAAACCAAATCGTTGCATGTCACCATTTTTGGTTCTTCAACCAACAAAATCATAGGTTCAATTTAGTGCTATATTTTTCCTTAATCCCAATCAAACTGAAATGATTACACTTGTATACTTAATTATCATTTGCTGAAAGTTGTTTGTTTTGTTTTTATTTTTGTGCTAAAACAAAACCCAAAAACATATGTATGGTAATATGTATATATATAATTTTGTCAAAACAAATAAAATTATAAACAAAAAATATATATTTGATAATTTGCTAGAAGAGAAGACGATTGGCCAGCAGAGCGAGAGTTACTGGTGAGGGTGGCTGGAGATTGGGGGATGGTAGAGGGAATAACTCTTTTCTTTTTCTTTTTCTTTTTCAGATAATTAGAAAGTTGTATTGAAAAAAACCAAAACTTTTGTATATATTTTCTCAAATTTTAGAAATTTTAAATATTTTTGTCATTTTTTCTAAAAACAAAAACATTACAAATTGTGTATTGGGTTGTCAAGCTTGACAAGTTTGATATATTACAGATCATTATGGTCCATTTAACTCATTCCATATTGCTTATCACTTGTTAAATTGTCTTAAATAACAGGCCGAATAGAGTTCAAGCAAATGAAGGTAGAGGCATAAGGGATAATCATAATAACAATGATCAATTGGTTTCAAGATTACTAGGAAGACAACGGGACTTCCACTACTTCCATTTCCGTATCCACAACAACAACACTAAATTAAAAGACCAGCTTTGTGTTATATGCTTGGAAGATTTTCATGAAGAGAGACAAGTCATGGAACTCTTATGCTCCCACAAGTACCACTCCAAATGCCTTCTTCCATGGCTCGCGGATCACCCCAATTGCCCCAGCTGTCGAACCCCTGTTCAGTAATGAGATTCACTTTTTTTTTTTTTTTGAGTGTGTGTCATTTAAAGATAGCCTTTAGTGCTGAGGACATGCTGTAATCCTAGAAGATTGTTTATTTATTTATTTCTCTTGTGGAACTTATTCACAGTTATAATTAGTTGAGTTTATACTTCTACCGCCTTGTTTGGCATCAGATTTTTTTAGTAATTTTTTAATTTTTTAATTTTTTGGCTAAATTATGATGTAAACAAAACGAATAATACTAGGAATGATGAAAAAAAATCATAAACTGCTTCATGAAAATTTTTCATCTATTGATTAGTGTGTGGTGTTTTCTTGTATGTGTAATCTAACTGTAGAGAATCTTTCATAATTATTTTCATGATATTTTTTTCATGATACGTAACATTACTAAAAAAAACTAGTATGTTTGAGATGACTTTTTAATTTTTTACGAAAAATGTGCAAAAAGTAGAGAGATAATGAAATTTTTGACTTTTTAATATAAGTTGTTGATTTTTTGATTTTTTTAGTGACTTTTTGACTTTTTAACTAAGATCTCCACTTACTAAACGAGTCATAATTTGCTAATTAGGCCATGTTTGCTAACCAATATAAGTTCTCAGGAATTTGACCAATAATACTATAGAATTATGGATGGGATTAATAATACAGACCATAATGGATAATATTAGTAATACATGAGATAATAAATGAGATTAATAAGATATGAGAGTATTTATATCATGGACACATTGTCATTGTAAAATTCTCGAAAGATTAGATAATTAGTCTAATTACAAGTACATAGGGGGTGTTTGGGAAGAGATGGTTTAGGCTAATGTAGCCTCAAAAATAAAAATAGCCTAAAAGCCTCTAATCAAAAGGTTTTCAAAAAAAAAAAAGAAAAGAAAAATGTGGCCGGCTGTGGCTGTCACTGTGACAGTGGTAGGCTGTCACAGTGACAGGTAGTAGAATTACACTTTTGCTCCTATTGGTTTATTTTGAAAAATGTGAGAATAGGGATAAAATTGTCATTTTAATTACAAACATCATTTCAACACATTTTTCAATACACCAACTCAAATAAAAATCTATCTCATCTTCCCAAACATAAAAACTAAAATAGCCTACTAAAATAGCTAAAAAGTCAAAAAACCTCTAAAATAGCCACTTCCCAAACGAGGCCATAGACAACTCACATTGATCTCATGTGAAATTATTTATTTCAGCAACCAAACATGCCTTCAGTAGATTTGTAGAAGTCCTCACAAAATGATAACTTGTTTAGTGTCAAATGCAACAAGGTGTACGGGGTGTGATTATTAGAGACATGTTTTATAATCTCTCTCTTAAACTTGATTCATTATAGTTTAGAAGTACCATATGTGAGAGTATATATTGTATATATGGTATATTAAGAATTAAGCAATTTCCTTGCTTATGTATATTACAAGAATTAGGTTCCTTACTTGTGTATATTACGAATTAGACAATTTCCTTCATGTCAGGATCTTAATTGGATTCAAGTTATTGAGGATGAGTTGTTTGCCTTACAGAAGACTAACACTTGAGAGTTGGTTCCTTTGCCAACTGACAAGAATCTGGTTGGTTGTAAATGGATCTATAAAGTCAAGACTCATTCTGATGGTTCTCTCGAGCGCTACAAAGCTTGCTTGGTTGCCAAGGGTTTCTTATAAGAGTATAGTATTGATTATGAGGAGACATTTGTCCCTGTTGTCAAGATGACTACTGTCCGTACCTTGATTTATATTGCTGCTGTTCGATATTGGCCTCTCTATCAGATGGACATTAAGAATGCTTTTCTTAACGGTTATCTCACTGAAGAGGTTTACATGCGTCCTCCCCTTGGTCTTTTCCACTCTTCTGGGCAGGTTTGTCATCTTCAGCGTGCTCTGTATGATTTGAAGCAGTCTCCTTATGCTTAGTATGATCTCTTTCAGACTGCCGTTGCCGAGCTTGGGTTTCATCCTTTTACTTCCGACTCTGCTTTGTTTATGAGATATACTTTGACTGGTTTTGTTGCTCTCCTACTCTATGTGGATGATATGATCATCACTGGCTCTGACTTTTCTGTTATCTCTGAGGTCAAGCAACATCTCTTCTGCACCTTCGAAATGAAGGATCTGGGTCCATTGCGGTATTTTCTTAGTATTGAGGTTGCCTCTTTTCCAAATGGCTATTTTCTATCTCAAGCCAAGTATGCTAATGAGGTTATTCACCGTACCAGTCTTATTGATACTAAGGTTTCTGATACATCTATTGAGCTTAATGTGAAGCTCAACTCTACTGATGGTGTCCCTCTGGATGATCCCACGGTCTATCGAGAGCTGGTGGGTTGTTTAGTTTATTTGACTGTCACTCGCCCTGATCTTACTTATGCTGTTCATGTGGTTAATCAGTTCGTTTCTGCTCCTCGCTCTACCCATTAGGCTGCTTTGGTTCGCATTCTTCGCTATCTCCGGGGTACCATTTTCCAGGGCTTGCGGTTGTCATCTACTTCCTCTTTAGACTTGGTCGCCTATGCTGATTCTTATTAGGCTGGTGATGTTACTGATCGCAAGTCCACCTCTAGTTTCTGTATGTTTCTTGACGATTCCTTGATCTCTTGAAAAAGTAAGAAACAAACTGTTGTTGCTCGCTCTACTGCCGAAGCTGAGTACCTCGCTATGGCTCATGCTACTGTTGAGCTTGCATGACGTCGTTGTCTTCTCTCTGATTTGAGTGTACCTCAGTCTTCTCTGACCTCCTTCTATTGTGACAACCGCAGTGCTATTCAGATTGCTCACAATAATGTCTTCCATGAACGAATGAAACACATTGAGATTGATTGTCACTTTGTCCGACAACATCTGCAGTCTGGCTCTATCTCATTTCCTTTTCTCTCCTCGGCTTTACAACTTGCGGACTTCTTCACCAAGACTCACACTACCGCTCGGTTTTAGTTTCTTCTTAACAAACTCTCAGTGTTTTCTGCTTAAAACACCTTGAGTTTGAGTGGGGGTGTGAGAATATATATTGTATATATGGTATATTAGGAATTAGGAAATTTTCTTGCTTATGTATATTACAGGAATTAGGTTCCTTGCTTGTGTATATTACGAATTAGGCAATTCATTTTTCTTTGTATTTCCTTTTTCTGTTATAGATTAGGGTTATATAACTAATGCACTCTTTGTAAACATACTTAAGTTAAATACACAGAAAACTTACACCATAACCAATTCATTTTAAGTTTGATGTCTTTGAAATTCAACAATGTCAAGCACCAACACAAGAAGATGGCAGAAATTAGCGTTTACTTTTTCTTATTCTTTCTTTTTTTGAAATTGGGGATTTGGTTGAGATAAAATTATATAATTTTTTAAATGAATTTTTTGGTTGGTTTGATTAATTCAAAAAAAAATAAAAATAAAATGAAATTGAATGATCCTATCACACAAAACCTCAAGCCGCAAATATATATATATATTTTTTTTTATCAGCAAAAGGGAACTTTATTGATGAATTATAACATACAAAGTATGAAGATACATCATTAAAAGGAGAGGAAGTGCAAAGAGCATCACGGAACATCACCTCAATCCCAACTAGGTTGACACCGAGAGGAGAACCCTATCATATGCTAGCACAAGCCTGGGGACGTTGGTAAGGAACCAACAAGAGAACCAAAGGCCAAAAATAAAGGCTGCAAAACATCAAAACCACCCATGTTGACCACCCTAAGCACTAAGCCCCTGTACTGCCAAAACCAGAAACAGAGGAAACCTTAAACAAACAACCTAATGAGGCGGAGGTTGGAAACAATATCGTGAACAGTATAATTGACCTCCAAGAACCATTTGGCCCACAAAGCAATGAGCACTTTCATTTTTTCACATAAATCTTCAAAAGCGAGCTGTGCCTCTTTAAACAGACAATCATTTCTCAATTTTCAAATAGACCATAACACGACTAAGGGAACAATCTGCCATATTTTGGATACCCAAGGCTTGAACTTGCCACCTGACCACCAATACAGCAGGCCCTCTGCTGATCCAAGAATTGCCCAGACTTAATCCTACCAATTTACCATATGTGACCAGCACTTCCAAACAAGAACTGTATTCTCCTCCCATTGCCAACATTTATTTTGAATTGGCCACCATAAAACTCACCCAAGAGCTGGTTGACTGAAGTAAGCTACATAATATCCTTCCAAACTATAGGCACCCAATCTGGATGATTGACTGATAGAATCCAACCCCCACCAGCTGTGTCATACCTTGAACACACCACAGATTTCCACAGTGCTTTATCTTCACTACCATACATCCACCACTACTTTAGTAACAAACAGTCATTCACTTCACCTAAGTCTCTCACTCCTAAACCTCATTGACTTTTGGTTTTGGTGACCTCCTTCCATTGGACCAAGTGTACTTTCCTTTTTATTTTCAGTCCCTCTCCACAGAAAATATGACTGAAGCTTAACTATAGCCTTAATAACCCCCTTAGGCATTTTGAAGATAGAAAGGAAACAAATTGGCAGGTTTGAGAGGGCAGATTTAATCAAAGTCAATCTCCCAGCATAAGATAACAACTTCCTCTTCCAAGAAGACAACTTCTTCTTGATCTTGTCCACTACTGGATGCCATGTGCTCTTTCCTTTAAGATTGGCCCCAAAATGCAGACCTAAGAAATTAAATGGCAGTTTCTTGGTTAGGTAGTTCAAAATCTTAGCAAACTCTTTAGTGTGGTCATCTTGGAAGCCCACCCCACAAACTACACTCTTATGATAATTGATCTTTAACCCAGACATCACCTCAAAGCACCTTAACACCCTCTTTATGTTCAGAATTGCCTCCTTATCACCTTCACAGAATATGATAATGTCACCTGCAAATTGGAGATGTGAGATTCTCAACTCATTAGTTCCAACTGTGGCACCTTTAAACCGACCGATCTTTATAGCCCTCTCTAATAAAAGGTTGAGAACTTCTGCTGCAATAATGAATAAAAATGGAGAAAGAAGATCCCCTTACCTTAACCCCTTTTGTGGCTGAAACTCCTCAGTGGTTGCACCATTG